AAAGTTTAACAGCTTTTATAATAAGTGGCTTATCACTGTGTACTCTTACTGAGAAAATATACAAATCTGGGAATTTATAGCCTGAGCTTGTTTACAGCTTATTTAAATCTTTCCAGCAGAGCAAGCTCTCATTTGCCTCTCTGCACACATCTTTTTGTTTCCATTTTATTTAGATATATGAGAACATTTCCAGAGCAGCAGGTCTGGCAAGCAGTCCAAACAAGTATGACTCAAAAGAAAAAGTCAACGCTGACCTAAATGACAGAGCCAGATAGACTAGACACATGACGGGCCACTGAGTGATTCACTGTGTGACACTCACATGCAGACCAAAGGTGGCCCAGTTTCATACTGACAGCCTTTCATTAAATGCAACCTGGTAGAACGATGTAACAATACAGGATGTATCAGTCATTCATCTTTCCATTGATCGTCAGCTGTCATGGGGTGAAAGACAACCACGGATGCACACATTCACACCTACAGTCACCTTTGAACCAGTTAACCCAGTGCCATATTCATTTATGTCTTATGACTCCAGGAGGGAAACACTGGGATCTTTTCTCATGGGCCCAGAGCTCATGTGTTTTTCTGGAGTTGTTTATATTTTCTGAGTGTATATTGGGCTGGCAGTCCTAGCAGGTGGACCTGCCAGGTTCCTTGTTACTTGTGTGTGGCGATGTTCTGGTTTACCTGGAACGCCAGGACCGGAGAGTGTTTCCCGCCGCGAGGCCAGCGACATCTGCGTCTGGGGAGCTACTTAAAAGAGTGGCTGAGACATTAGATCACTGTGAGATTACCAGCATACCATATGTTAGAGTGTTTGAGTTTGCCACAGTTTCGCATGTTACTAACGACCACCTCTGTGATAATCAGGGGAGTTATTGGAGGGCGGAGTGCGCACCTCCGCTCCCCGGAATCCACCAAGGCCAGGGGGCTCAGGCCCATCCGGACCAGGGCCTACAGCAGCAGCCCTGAAGAACCCGGGGAAGCCCACCTAACGCTGCCACAGAAGAAACTATACCCACCCCATCATCCAGTCAGCTACCAGACTACATAAGACCAGACACCCAGGTTGAGTTTATTCTCCACCTGTCCTGTACCTCTCCCTCAGCTGCAGGGTGGACTCCTAGAGAGCAGAGACCTCCTGCAAGGATGTGACAACCTCCCGGCCAGTTGAAGAGGCCTCCATTACCACCGGTGCACCAGAGGCCCCCTGCGCCAGGGCTGGGCACTCGTGCACGCACCCACCCACAACCCCAGCCAGAACCCCAGCCCGAGGGCAGAGTGCCCCCAGAACCCAAAGCCTGCCCCAGATCACCCAGGAGCAGCTAGGTTACCATGCCAGTGACTCACGTCCGCCAGCACAAACCCTCCCCCAGCCCTGCTGCACGCCTACACCAGGAAAATGCTACCCAAGAGGCCCAACCAGGATATGACCACAAGCCCCGGGCGGTGCCCTCCAGGGAAAACGTCTCTAGGGAATCTCCAGATGCCCAAGCCCGCACTACCCCCACAACTGTTGGAATTTTTAACTTATTAACTTATTTGTCACTTAAGGTTATCAAGCTTGGTCAGCAAGCTGGATGGATACTCTCAGACACAGATGCCAAGTAACAAGTATAAAATCTCACTCATTAAAGCTGAAGCACAGTAAGCCCTGCTATGTGTCAGACAGAGATATTAAAAGTGCTCCACTGCAAACAAATTGGAGACAGGCTCTAGCATTCCATAAATATGAATATCAGGAAAAATGAATGCATGGTGGAGGAATGGATGACCTGCACTTTTACTGTTGTACTTAACACAGAGTACAGTATATTGGAACATATCAGGGTAGCTGTAGCAAAGGAGGTAGAGCAGGTCATCTACTAATTGGACAATTGGTAATTCGACCCCCGGCTACTTGCCAAAATATTGTTAGTTGAAATACTGAACCCCACGTTGCTCTCTGACGCAAATGGTGGAAAGACTCATAGAGAAACCACAAATTAAACACTCAGACCTTCGGTTAGTTTGCAATCCAATTTGAAGCACAGATTTTTTTCATTAAAATAATGAGCAGCTTTGCTCCGGATTGAGGGTTGAATCAGACTAGCAAACACTCAAATACAAATATTTGGTTAAAGTCTGTGAATTCTTTAGAAATACCAGAATTTTTGGCATGATTACTAATATAGTTGTGGTCAAACATTTACATAAACTTGAATGACTGTTATGGTATTATGGAGGGAATACTGATGTTAACTAAAGCTCAGTTGAAAGGTTAATTGTTAAGCTTCCCATAACATTCATGCCCATGACGAGTGTGTGTTCTAACCACAAGTGTGATTTCATCATCTAAGCCAAAATGTTACCTTTTGCACGACTCATTGTGCCTATCGGGAAAATCTTTGAAGTTAAACCACAATTTTTTCTCTGAAACTGAATAATAAGGATACATTTGTCCCCATGTGTATGAGCTCATCTTCAGTAACCATAATCCTTTTTCTGGATTGTCTAATGACTTTTTGGATGATCGTGGGAAATCTGAGTTTAGTTTATCAGGTTTATTTATCCCTTCCTTTTACAGTGTTTTACAATTAATTTCCAGGCGATGACTTACTATGACATATACAAAGAAATTATGATTTTATCCTGAGCATAGGGGCAGGGGATAGCCCAGTACGTAGAGTGGGGGCCCCATGATCAGAAGGTTGGAGGTCTGAATCCACTAAACGGCTACCCTGAGGTACCCCTGAGCAAGGTACCTTCCCTACGCAGTGCTCCCCGGGCCCCCAGTGACTGCCCACTGCTTCACTGAGTGAATGGGTTAAATGCAGAGGGATCAATAAAGTCTAACATTAGATTAGATTAGATTAGATTAGATTAGATTAGATTAGAATAATATAATTCAGCCTGACCTCCAAGTTGACCTTGAAGTCATCCAACTGACATCCTTGTCAGATGCTGAAGGCAGGATCCATGATGGGTGAAGCAAGTGTTTTATGCATTAGCAATGATTCTGCCGTATTTGGGACCCTTTAAGTCACCTTGAGAGTTGAAGACCACCCAACTAAAAAAATAAATAAAAATACCAACATGGCAACATAGCGGGACTACGCAAAGCAGTGGATGACAGCATGGTAGCTATACTGGTCTTTTATACTGGGCCACCACTACAGAAGTTCAAGAAACAGTTCTCTGCTGGTTTTCAGCAACAATGACCAAAAACCAAATGAAAAAAAATAAACAATAAATAAATGCAGTTAAGGGATGAGCTGAAAATGCACAGAAGTCCACTGTTCTTATACGAGGTAATAAATAATAATGTTCTCACCTATTGTGAAACCAACTCCTCATTTGAATGCTAGCTTCCGCTTCACCTGGTTATCTGCAGCTGCTATTTTCAGGCTGTTCCCAGGAAGTCTCTTTCTCACCATTTGCACATGTAAATGGTGACAGACTCTGGTGCTTTGGATAGCTTTTCTACTCAGTTTGGGCCTTTCTTACTTTCACTAGCTGGGCCCACGTCCTCATTTTAGGTTTGACAGCATTTTAGTAGGTAAAGGTGATGCTTTGACATGAACTGAGCGGTTTGGGGAAGGTCTCGAAGGGGACTGGCGACGGCTCCCGGGCCTGGTAGATCCCCGTGTACTAAATAGAAGCGAAGAAGTTGAACAATGGAGAACAAGTAGGGAGGGAGGGGCACGTAAACGAGAATGATCAGCTTGCAGAACTGGGGGAACCTATATAGATGACAGTCGGAAGGAGCCTGTTTGGAGGCGCGGTCCCGCTCCTGAAATTCCGATACATAATCTCCAAATAAGGCTAAGTCATACACACACCTTTTTTCTTTCTTTTACATTCACACACTCAAATGCTGATGGATGCATCTCAGGGGCAACTCGAGGTTCAGTATCCTTCCCACCAACTCTCCCATAGCTACCCTAAAAATGTGCATCTGCAGTTTTACTATGATCCTGAAACCTGCGCCAAACACAGAGTGCAGAAAACCATCGTTCAAATACTTGTGACCTGAGTACATCTCGGCTGACGTAGCCAACGAAACAAAAACATTGCAACCTAACCACATAAAGAAGAAAAAAAAACGTAAGCATTGTTTTGACTAGAAGCAGAGCACCAGGAGCTCTGGTGCTTTTTACACTGACATAGAACATAAATCAACTTTAAGCAAAATGAAAAAACTTCCCAGAGTGTCTGGAATGTTTTTGTAGAATTTGTAGAGACATCTTTCCTCTGAATGTTGTGTAAACCTCATCCCGCATAGTTCGTGGTTTCTTGCAGCTGCAAGAAGAAAATAATTGTGTGAATCTATTGTGTGCAGTCCTCGTGTGTCACAGGGAAGGCTGCTTTGGCTTCATTTAACCTAATCCTTTATGTTACAAGTAGCTTGTGTTGGAAACGATATGTCAGCCTCTCCTCATTGTGTCTGTGTGAAGTTTCTGTTTCCACATGAATCAGACCATCAAGGAAAGAAAATGTTCACACAAGGTCAAGTAAATATCTGTGGGTTTATGTGTCATTAATGCCCCAACAAACGACGTTTTGAGGAAATGATGTGGATCCCACACACGTCTCAGTCATGAAATGTCACACTTACTTTCTTTGTTTCAGGACCTTGGACAGATCAAGCCCAGTTTTCGCCCCTGAAATCATCTTTTGTTTAGTCATCTTAAAAACATTTGATCTCATCACTGATTCACGTCATTTATTCTTACAAACCAACCAACGCAGTTACACAGGACAGGATGTGGCCTCCTGGTGATTCAGCATTTTAAACCGTTTCAATAAATGTCTGTATTGTCATCTTTTTTTCATCTTTTCTGCACTGCAATGTCTAGATATTTAAGAAAACAATAGTTTTACTGACATATTTCAAAACCTACTAAAATGAAGCAGTTTTGTTTAGTTTAGTTAATCTCGCTAACACACAGTGCTAACTGTTTTACAGTTAATAACAGCAGCACTATCAGAAGTCACTGCCAGTAACGACAGCTCTGATATGTGATAACTCACAGTGGATCAACTGGTTCAGATCTTATTTTTAAAATGACTGAATCACACAGCTCAGACGTGACCAGGCACTTTTTGGTCAGGACTTGATTTAATGCACTTATGATATAGCAAGAAAAACAGTTTAATGGCTGTTTGCTGCCATCTAGTGGCTGATTCAAATGCACACAACAAATTAACAAATCATTTTGTTGAATTTAGGTTGAATATAATCACCAAAGCACGAGGTGGGGGCTGTCTGCTACGACTCCAGTGGCCATAAAACACTGGAAACTATACTTATGTGCAAACAGATGATAAAATGAGTCTAATCCCCGAGTACATCTCACATGTGGCAGACGGACCCAAATCCCGAGTTGAGTTCTTCTCTCGTTGTTCTCTTAACAGACACCTGAACAAAGAAAAGCAGGACTTAAATACTCACACTGAGGCCCAGCTTGGGTAATGAGGAACAGCTGACACAAAGGAGACAAGAGAAGTCAAATTAAACACAAGCTACGAGATGAACGACTGAAATAAACAGGAAACAACGTAACAAAGATACTCCTGACACAGCGACGATGGCTTGACAACAATAAATGAGACGCCGCTGCAGAAAGTATAATAAATGCAAAGATTACAACCTAGTTTAGAAAATAAACAGATGGTTTTTAAAAGCACTCACTCGCAGGCATCCATCAGTGCCTCATCACGCAGCTGTAAGAAAAGTTTTAACAAACTAAGAAGTTTAGATTGCGAAGTTCACAAAATCATTTCAGTTAGTTTAACTTTTTTTCAAAAGTGTAGTTTTTCTCCTTATTTTTGTTGTTGTTTGTATAATACAATTCCTGTAATATGTCCCACCCACTAACAAAAGCTGTGAAGAAGAGATAATCAGTCTCGTTCACCTCAACTGCAGCAGTTTGATGTCTGATCAGTGCTACAAACAGAATGATGCTTTTCCTGCTTCAGGGCTTTTGATATTTAGACCTTAGATTAAATTATATTGTACTTTATTTTGTTCTTGTTCCAGCGTCTGCATCCATTTAACCACTGATACTCGTCTTTTTTTGCTAGCATTATGATGGGTGTGTTGTTGCTGCAACGTCTTAATTATTGCCACATGTCTGTGAC